CCTAAAATGATAGGATTTGGACGTTAAATGCTTGTTTTGTTGTTAAAAGTGAACATTAAGACACAGTAACAAGATACAGACACAAATAACAACAAAGGAATTAAATTGTCCAGCCATAAAATTATTACTTAAAAACCATTATAGCCTGATAAGAGAAAGGAAATGTGCTGGAAGCTGACTTACAAACTCAGTAACAAGTACCATAGCACCCTCAGTGAAGAGTCCTAGTACAAGGATTAACCAAAAAGTGACCAGTGTCTCTATATAAGGCTGTTTAGCATTTAGATCAAGCATTTCCAATATGTGATGAAGAAAACAAGATAAATAAGTCCTCATGAATCAGTGCTGCACCAGATCCAGCTTTTCTGCCTGTAACAGTCCCTAAACAGTCTTTAGTGAAGTTTCAACCTGATGCACCATCTTTAATTTTGTACATCCTTCTGCTGAAGTCTAGAATATCTTGTCTTTGTCCCCTAGAGTCTTTCCCCTTGTGTTTTAGCAGGTTGATAAGATTACACATCAGCCACCAGAGTGGCAACTGGGAGCTGTATCCCTTGCAATGTTGTGTTCTTCTGTCAGTAAATAACAGACCCTTACTATCTTATGCTGATCAATCACAGCTGAGTAAGCCTTTTCTCCTAATGATTCAGCAGTCTCAGTACATCTATGTCCACATATCTACAGTTCCACAATGATATGTCCATTGAGACATGTTTGAAGGCTAGAGAATATAAGCAGTATTATTGTTAGAGACAGAGAGACCCACATGAAAAGAGAGAGAAGGAAGGGCAGGTGGCCAGAACGACACTGGGGTTCGGACATGTCGAAAGAGGTTGGCAAGACCATTTGCTGACTCACACTGCAGCCCCACTGGGATTAAAGGGACAATAGACCTTCATTTCTTTTTAATGAGTGCCTAACTGACATATCACCATGCAGAAATACAGCGACTGACAGGAGAAACGGTCGGAGGATAATGGCCGAATAGGGAGCTCAAGGGTAGACGCTTCAGCCCTTCAACTGTCTAATACAACTACATACTTCAACTTTTTGGTGTAAGCAGTGCATGAAATAGAAGGGAACCTCATTACCGTCTCCGAGGGAATAAAAGGTATATCTTATGATTTGATATGACACACTACATCACATTGCACATAAAACAACTGTAATTTAAATCCTGCTCTTTGATTTACTCAGGAAGAGATGAAGAGAAAATTATATTCTCGAAAGAACTAGACAAGAGTTTCAAACCAATCATACTTTAAATGAAGGATTTCAGCATGCCTTATACTTTTACTACCAGAATAAATTCAACTGGCACTGACAGTGAAAGAATTTGCTCACCTTCACTAGGTGAGACAAAATTATTCAACAACATCACACAGAAACATCCAGACAAATTTAATCAAACTCTTTAGATCAGAATTTGTTAGCACGCATGTTGAATCGACTAAAATTAAAGCTGCTGTAAGGAAATTTTGGTTTGTGTTGATTTTGGTGCCCTCTGCAGGCAAAGATGTGCATCTTATCACTTAACGGATCTTGTCCTGTATATGGCAAGTGGATGTTTTCTTTAAAATATTGTCATCCTGCTGTCCTTAAACATTAAATGTGGCGGCCTGGTCTAACACCAACCTATTCAAACTAGTTTCAAGCATTTGAAATTACAATATGGATGTTAATCTTGTTATCGGTGGTCTTGTTTTCTTTTGGGGGTCACAGAGAGACATCAGTTTTGATTTTAGTCTTCTTTGAAACCAGATAAAAAGTCCTCTTAGTAGCTTTAAACATTGCCGTCAAAGTTTGAAATTACAAGTTAGTTGAGTGAATTATTCAAAGTTTTACTTGTAGTGGGTCAAATGTTGTGTCTAAGCTGTAGTTCAGCCACTCTCCACTATGAGGCTAGAGCAGTAGTTTCTCCTTACTACCATAATAAAGCTCCACTACTTTGATCAAAACATATACAGATGCAACAGATGTAGCTCTACCGTATTTGACATCTAGAAAAAATGAAACCACAGGGTCCTATTTAGGTGATCTAAAACATGCAGTCTAAACTGTATGGCACAAATAGAATTAGGGCTTGACTGACCACTTTTTGCCATTTCAGCAACACACAATCTGGGGACACAGTGAGGCACAGGACTAGACATTGGTTTGAGTCTCACCATTTTTCAAAGGGGTTTTGGGTGTAACATGAATCAAACCAATCAGTGTGTCTGCCTCCATTCCCTTTGAAAGCCAGGTGTGCCTACTGGCAGGCATGTTACTATTTATACAGCAGATTTCTGCCTTTCTACTTTAATAAACCAGGCCCGCGCCAGTAAATTTAATTTCTCTCAGACTATTCTGCCTCTAAAAGCTTAGAAAACACATACACAGAGGTTGCTTTGCTGTGCATGAGCATTGACAGAGACATACCTACATTTATTCATGTGCACATCAGCATTGGCTCTATCAATCATTTATAGCTTGAGTGATAGGCTGTTTTGTTCTAGATTTTACTGCTGGATCACATGGCTGCATTTTGTACTGCATGCACAATGGATACAGCCTTTATTAATATCTGAGGGTGTGCACTTGAGGTTGGTGTATTGTGAAAAAGAATACCCCTTAGTTGTGTGTTTCTTGTATTTGAGGAGGAACCTAGTAACCTTGGTGCTTGTCTTGGAGTGGAAGGTTTGTTCGGTAGTGGCTGAGGTGATGCAGGTGCATGAGGAGGGTGAGGGTGCTCCCCTCTTCTGGCATCCTGAGATTGGTCCTGTACCTTTGTGTATGGAGACAAAAAGAAAAAAAAAAACTTGTGTCTCAAAGTCCTGTGTGCCAGTGAGCCCTCCATTTTACTCTATCGGCATCCATATAGACCTAATATCAGAAACTGGTCTGAGTTCTGGTCATCTGCCGAAGACGATTTCATTTTTATTTAGGAAAGACTAAAATTATGGAGAATGGCTTTGTTTACAGTCAGAAAGAGCGGGCTGCTGAAAAAATTTAAAATGTTGACCACACAGACATAACAAAACACAGCAATATCGTTATATTACCAAATGTCATTAATAACTAATAGCTATTGACTGATATTAAAAGCTTTTTTGTATATACACCACAAAAATAGATGCTTCTTTAATGGAATCCTGCCTACCCCACCTTTAATGATTACTGTCTGACCGTAGACATATCTAACCAATATAACAAAAAGTGTACCTAGATAACATTACTGACACTGCCTTTAATTTTCACAGGCCAACATAATACACTGTACAGTATATTGTCACTGTGGCCTACAGTAAATGACTCTCCATTGTGCTGAAACATATTGAGGTCCCTTAGATATAAGAGACAAACAGCAATACAACTCAGGGTCTAATTTTGTCACATTTTTCCCCTCTGTTTCTCAGTATCATCAATATTGTTTTTAACACCAGTGTTGAATTCAAAGAGAAACTTCAGTAACTTCCCCTAACTTCTTTCAGTTTTGCTGATGTTGTTCACACAATAAAGTTTTACACTTAGCCTCAGCATTACTCCAAAGCTCGGTACATTAGAGGATAACTTGTCTCAGCACAGCATTTTGAAAATCCGCAAAGCCATGAAGCTAACCATAAAACTGCTCCCCCAGAGTCTGTGGGCTCATAGAGGAAGAAAAAAAAAACTTTCATTGTTTTTCTCAAGTTTAATCAAGAAGGAACACCCGGATGAAAACGAAACAGCTGATGAAATTACAAAAGCGATCCAACTCAACATCAACAAATTAATTCACACTTCACTTGAAAGAACTTTTGAACGAAACATTGGATTATTTTACAAGTCTGTGTCTATCCCTTTAGCTAAATTGTAATTTCTTGTGGGAACAATTTCTATTTATGGTCTGAAGCTGGTCCACATGACCAGGCATGCAAAAAAGAAAAAAAAAAATCATGGCACAGTTACACAATTTCATGTATCTGGTTAATGAGTTAAACCCAGAGAAGCTCCATTTTCTCAGACAGCAGCCTTCGAGGAAAGATCAAATGTTCCCCCCCGTCAGGCTGTAAGCTGCTGCTTTTCTCCAGAGAACAGAGCTGGAGTTTGTCTGTGACTCTCTGGCAATGATAATAATATCCTTAGTTCAGGATGTAGCACGCTCTGTCTGAAAATACATCTAAACTCTCTTCTCCTCCTTCCTTCTTTTTCCTTTATTTCTTCTTCCCAGTCTTTCTCTCATCATCTCTCCCTCCTCTGCCTCCCAAAGCCAAATGTGTGCAGCTATAAAGCTTAACTAACTGGCAAACGACTGTCTCCTCGTGCTCGCTTATCAACAGGATAAGCTGCAAGGTTATTTCCAGGCTATACAGCTCATCAACTGTCATGAACTACAGCCATTCTTTATGCACTGCAAGGGAGGAGACGATCTGCACAACTGAACTCACTGTCATTGGCGTCTTTTGTTGAAATGAAACCAAACACCAAAAATAACTCAATGATTGTAGAAGTGATGATATTATAACAAACACTATCGAGTGAAACAGATGGGCATGGATGCCTCGTGTTATCGCCAACTTGTACCTTTTTATCTCATGAGGACAGAGGGAGTTCAAAAATAACCTGTGGTGCAAAATTGGAGCTGCCAATGAGAGAAATATATCTGAGATAACAGAAGAAGCAGAAAAGAGGAGGAATTGGAATAAAATAAAAGGGATCAGACCATCAGGGGACTTGGTGAGAAGGAGTAGAAAATGAACATAAATGATGGGATGGGGATTGAAAATTAAGCAGGGAGGGAAAGAGCAGCTCTGTTGAATTTCAGCACAATGTTTTTCAGTCACAGGCTGATATTCAGACCCTGAGTATGATATTGTGATACGGCTTCTACACTATCCAAAGTGATAAGTTGTCAACTGTTTTGATAACTATTGTATGGGCCATTTTATCTATATTATTTTTGGGTTTTGTTTTGTTACTCGCACAATCAACACAATGGGCACTTCAGGTGAATGGGCAAGTTAGTGCTACAAAGGGACTCAGGTGAAGCAGGGATCTGGGGAACGGGAAGAGCACACGGTTTTTACCCTCATCACGCACATCACCATTGTCGTAAGTCGGACGCATCTGTCTTGTTTGGTTTGTTTTTCATTTAATTAATAAATGGCAAAAATATAACTCTACAACAACCTTGGATTGGACATTGGATTGTACTAGAAGCACGTCAAAAACACCTCACTCCTGCACCCAGACCGTGACTAAAATTCAGGTCAGCATAGTCACTACAACTATCGATGATTTTTCAACAAATTCAACTAAATTTTCCCAACAAAATGTCAGAGTTTATTAATAAGTATGTATTTATGAGAATGTACATATTGGAGTAATTATTACTTATGTCTGTTTTACTACTGCAATCAAGTTGTACAGACTACACTGACTTTTTCTGTTGTATCTCTGTAATATGTTAAATGATAGTTTCCTTAAGGTTAACCATAACATAATTTAGATATGATTGCTTTTGTCAGTTTCATCTCCTTACTTTGAACAAAATAAATCAGTGATGATAAACATGTCACATCATAAGATAAAAAATGCAGAATAGCAGAAAATACCCTTTAAATTATCAAAATTAGAGGGATGTCATTCCATATGTTTGGCCGTGATTAAATATAGTTACATTCGCTTCACAGTCACTAAAAACAGACAAATTGTACCTGTAGCTGTAATTAAAAACACATGAGCCTGAGTGTTTACAGCAACAACAACCTGTTAAGATCATACTTTGACTCTTATAGCATGGAAAACTGTTTGTGCCTTTTGACTCAATTATTCTATATTTAATTTCTGATCATAACCTTTGAATTGAGATTCATCTTGAGCAGTTTTGTAAAGGAGATATTCACAGCCTTAGTCACATCTGTACACTATATAAGGGACATTTCATCACTGGTTGACTAGTTTTGAATACAAACAGCATTATAGCTAACCCAGCCCATGCATGCAGAGACATACCTCACAGATCTTTTCTAATTCAGAGGAGTCCCTTCTAGGGTCACAAGGTAGTCTGAGGATTCATAAGAAGTTTTCAGTCATCAAAAAGTTTTTAAAGAAAAATCCATGACCCATCAAAATGTCTTAAACCTATCTGGTGACAGCCATGGATGCCTTTATGGTATTTTGTGAGAAGTTTAACGAAATCCACTATAAAATTCTTGATAAATTCTAGTCTGTACCAAGAACGCTGTGCTGATTAACATGATCATGCAGCTAGTATGGCCTCAAACACATAAAAGCTCATAAATCACCAGCTAAAATTGACAGAAATAAAGTGTAAAAGCATTATATAACTCACAATGACAACAATAACACTCAAAGGAAATTCATCAAAGCAATTATTAAAGTAAATTGTCTGACCAGATCTGAAATTGCACAGAAATTTCATAGGCCTAAAAGGTTGGAGAAAAAGTCAACAAAGATGCACATCATGAAGCGAAGCGGAAGCAGGAATGATGTGGATATTTACCATGCAGCATAAGACTCAGTGTGAAGCCAGGCAGAGCATTTGAGTGACAGGACTGACAATGGAGAAATTAGCTGTGCTGAGGGAAAGCGTGGGTCAGCAGTTTAAGAAAGTTGACAGGGAATTGGAGCCAAGATGCTTCGGGGACAGGGGCCTGCAGCCTCTGGGTTTCTTTTATTTTCTTGGAATTTGACAAATTGTTTGAAAAGTGGTGACAGGAATTTGTAAACTGATATTAAAGAGGTTGAGGGTATCTCTTTAGGAGTTTGTAGGGAAGAAGAAACATAAAACTTTAAAATGAAAGCATCACAATAACATAAGGTGGTTCCACAGCTAAAGGCGAAATATACTCAGATCAAATAACATCTTTCCTGTAGTCAAATGCCTGCAGCGAGAGGACATGCATCTAGATGTTTGAAAACACCTCGGTCTGGTGTATTTTCCCCCCCATGGCCTTTTCGCTCACAACATCCTACTCCTGTGTGACTGAAAGGAGCTGGCAAATTAAAATGCTCACATGAATTATTGACTTTTTGAAATGTGTATCCAAGTGTGTGATGCTATGTTGGATGTCTTGTAAGGTTTCATTGTCAGTCAGCAGAAAAAAAACACTTAATTTGACTTCTAGAGGTCGAGGTAAATAAAGCCAAGGTCAACAAAGTCAATCACAGTCATCACATGGATTAAGATTCATGTGAAGTTGACAAAAAGCAAGACAACAAAGAATATGTAATGTACAAAGGTTGGGTCAAAATAACAATAACTCTGCTTTAATGTTCTGTTGTATTCAGCTTAACGTAACACCTTTTAGCATAAATCTTTGGGGTAATTTGTTACATACGCTCAACAAAGGGTGAGATGACCTTGCTAAGGGGTTCTTTAAATGAGCACCGAGGGAACTGGATAAAAATGAGATGCCAGACAACAACAAAAAACAGCTGCCCCTCGGTGGCCTCTGCCTGTTAAGGTACATATAGTTGCTGATACGACCACATGGTAAAAGCTGAGCGCTGTGTTTTTCACTCCATACTGAGAGGCTGTTTTAATAGACAGTGTTTATTTTTGTAAGCTAAGCAGTTAAGACAAGACTGAATAGACCTGGAGAAATTGAGATGATGGGTCCGGAGATCAGCTGACGGGGGCATCATTAAGGTATTGAGGGCTTTAATTTGGGACTAAAGGGTGACGAAGGGGAGTATGAATTCCTTTTGTTCTGTCTTATCAATAATATACCCTGCTGACTCACAACTAGACTGCTTGCTGGCAATTTTTCCCCACTGAACCAGATATTTGAAAGGCCACATAATAACTCACAGAACAGGAAAGGAAAGAATTTAAATTGTGTATTTTTTGGGACTTTGCTGTCACATGTGGTTTGTTCCTGTTTTAATCTATAAAAGTATACACCTGACCTGAATCAAATTTACGCTCTAAAAAAGTCTGCTAACCTAACTAACCTGTTGCTTTGAACCTGAGATATCAAATTACAGATCAATGACCTTGGCCAAGCAGAATTTTTATCTAAATATGGCCTGAGGTGTTTTAGACCTTGCAAACAGAGAGGTCCTCTGTGCTATGCCTTGAACAGCTGAGGTTTGAGCTTTCTTTTTCAGATGTTACCGGTTTCAACAGTCCTTGTGACCTTTTAAAATAACAAGCATCTTTGGCTTTTTGCTTTATCATTCGTTCCAGTTGTGTCATGATTTCATAATTCTGCTCTCGTAAAATCTGGACAATAAGGCGGGAAATTCTGTTTAACCTTTTTGCATCACCTCTGGAACCGATTAGTCCAGTGAAGAAAAAAAAAAAAGGCTCTGTTGCCAATACTGTAGCATCTTGATCCACTGCTGCCACCTAGTGTAGCTTTGTAGATGAGCCAATATGGAAATATAAGAAGTAATTTAAATCTATTCTAAATGTTATATTTTTAGATTACTTTTACTTACATACTTTTTATGGAAAGAGTGTTTCACCACTGGATTCAAAGATTTTTTAAAGAGGCAAAAAGAGGTGAGACGCAAAGTGTTTGTCAGATGTGAAATATTTATTTCAAGCCTCCAAAACTTCAACAGTTAAAAAAATCACCAGCTTTCATTTGACCTCTACTGTCATCATACCCATTCTTGATCAGTCCTTTTTCCCTACACTATTATACACACATTGACGGCTTAAAATGTATAAAAATCTAAAACTTCCCATTTAGATCTGAAAAAAAGGGGGCAACTTAACACTGTGCGCTTCTTGTTTTACAACACTCTGTTCTTTTCACAGATGATAAGCATGTTCTGAAAAAAAAAAAACTGTTTAGAGGCAATACTGACTATATTGACCTATCAACAGCAGCTTATTTGTTTAACACAGAGGGAAAACATTCAATGATACCAGAGTATGGCATGATCTGAACCACAAAACTATCATTTTCTGTAAAAATATGCTTAAATAAGAAATATCCTTAAAGGAGTTTAAAGAAGTTTGACGTCAAGATTAACAAGCAACTACAGTCAAATGAAGCTGGTATCCCAATCCTTGCATGATAAACCATCTCGCCGCTATGATATCCAGACAGGAAATTTCTCTTTTCATACATAAAACAGGTAAATGATTAAAATGCCTATAAATTTCTTTTATCCAGTTCCAATTAGCTGCAACTATTAAATAAATACACATTTGTTATTTATGTTAAAAGGCATGTTAAAATGGTTGGGCCAAAAAAAAAAAAAAAGAAATAAAAATGTTTAAGTATAAAAAATTAAAGGTTGCCAGTTAAGGCAGAGTCCATGAGGTCGTCATCTTCATTTCTTATGTACATTGGACTTGGCCGGGATGGACGCTCTGAACTCAGCATCGACAAAGATGAATCTGAAGCAGAAATGGGTGATCGGGACCAACTGTCTGCTTTTATCTGATGTGAGGATTGTCCTATGGACATTGAGGACTTCTTCTTTTCTTTGTCTCTGTCCCGTTCTCTGTCTCTATCTCTCTCCCGTTCCCTTTCTTTTTGCTTCTTTTTCTCCTTCTTGTGTTTCTTGTGCTTCTCCCCTGAGCTGAGGGGAATTGAACTCATGTAGTCCTGGGGGGGAAGTGGGCGAATGGCCTGGTCGTCGTCAGAGCTGGGGCTGTTCTGATGGGACTTCTCTGCCACAGAGCTGCTCCCAGACTCGCTCTCGCTGTCATGGTTGAGAGGGGTGTATCCGGGTGAGCGGCTGTGGCTTGGGGAGGAGCGGTCATGCTTGGGAGTGGAACCACTAAAGAGGGGGGAGGCTTTGAGGCTTGAGATCTGGGGACGCATGGAGTCACCTGATCCTTCCCCTCCTTTCTGAAGCGTCACTTTAGCCTTGATGCTTGGTGAGCCACCATCAGGTTTGCTAATAATGATTTTGGCCAGACCTGTCGTACCCACCCCTCCTGTTTTCTGGTCCATTATCTTTTTATCCCCACTGCTCCCCCCTGACACAGAAACTTTAGCTTTTGCCTCTTTATCTGACTTTTCACGCTTATACTCCCCACTTTGAGAAGACGAGGAATGCTTGGATGGACCACTTGAAGGTCCACTACCAGACACATTGCCAGGGCCACCACTACCAGGAGCAGATCCAGACCCAGATCCACTTCCCGGTGGTCCTCCCTCACAACCATCCTCCCCCACACCTCCTCCACCGACACTTTTCAGTTTATCTATGACTGCTGTCAGAGAGGGTTTCTTGTTCCGGCTTGGCGACTTCCCTTTGGCGTTGGGGTTATTTGCATTGTTTTGACTGCCCCCTCCACCACCTCCACCCCCGCTTCCGCCACCTCCTCCTCCACCACCACCTCCACTTCCACTTCCTCCCCCAGACCCTCCTCCCCCTCCACTTCCACCACCATACTGAGACTGTGAGCCTCCTGAAAAGTTCATGGAACCGGAGGAGGAGGAGGAGCTGGAGGATGATGAGGAAGATGTGGAACCAGAGGAGGAGCCTCCACCCATTTGCTTCTGAGAGCTCATGCCTCCACCAGAGGACTTGGAGCCTCCAGAGCTGCCACTTCCTGAGCCCATAGGTGATTTTGCTTTGGAGGAGGGTGGGGTTCCAGGGACCTGAGACTGCTGCATTTTCATCGGGGAGGACATTTTGTCTCCAGAGCTGCTGGAGCGGGAGTGGGAAGGAGATATGTTTGGTTTAATGTTGGGATTCATAAGAGAACCAGGAGGCTTACCCCCCTGTGTCTTAATTTTATTGCCTCCAAGGCTACCTCCACTACCTCCAGGCCCTGACAGTCCATGCTTAGTGATAGGGGAGGACCCTGGTTTTCCAACACCCATTCCTTGGGAGGAACCCTTAGACTGGGAAGGCCCACTTCCTATTCCTGTGCTCCCAGGCTTGGAGCTTCCACCTTGTGATGTTGAACCATCCTTTGACTTAATCTTCCCAGAGGAAGATGAGTGAGAATGATGGCTTTTGCTACTGCCGGACCCTCCTGCCCCTCCTGTGCTGCTTGTGGCTGAACTGCTGGAGGTGTACCCACTATGGGATGATGATTTACCCCCAGTAATGGTCCCTTTTGCAATCTGAATAGTGATTTTGGGAATGGGAGGTGTGGCCCCACCAGGAGGAGTTTGTGAGCGTCCTGAACTACCAGGAGATTTGGAGCCTCCTCCACTTATGCTTCCGCCAGAACCTGAGCCACCACTGGGTGGCGTATATGGTCGTCCCCCTGAGCTGTGAGAGGGGGATTTTCCATCAGGGTCCAGCTTTTTGCGTTTGGGTGGCTTTTCTTTAGACTTGCCTTCACTGGATGGGGTCCTGCTACGTTTGACCTGTTTGCCCTCTGTTGAGCTGCTTCCCATCCCAGAACTGCTCCCTCCACTTCCTCCATTCTCATCCTTAGGCCGCATGTGTTGCTGCTGTTTGACTTTGGGTTCTGCACTTTTAAAATCACCAAGACCCATAATGAGGGGACTCTGAGACCCTCCACCATGTGTGTCACCCAAATCAGGAGCTTGTCCCAGAAGTGGTTTACCACCACCACTGTTTCCTCCAAAGACTATCCCCATATCAAAGGGGTCCTTTAACGAGGGCTCTGGAGTGCTCTGCCCATGTGGTGTTGGGTTCTGAGGTGTTCCTGATGGAGTATTCTGCTGGCTACTTCCCCCAAAACTTTTGACCAGGTCCATGTCTCCATCTGCACTTGGGGAGCTGTCATCAAAGTAGTTCTGAGAGAAGCCCTGGCCTGAAGTCAGAAGGTCAGGGTTGAAGTCAGCAGCATCAGGAAAGAAGTTGGTAGAGGAAGAATCACTGGTGGGAGTGGCGGCAGTGGCAGCTGCCTCAGCAATTAGGTCGGCAGCATCAGTAAAAGGATTCTCATTGCTGTTGGTGTTAAAAATGTCTGCAGAGTCAAAGACTGCACTGCCCTGACCGGAGCTGGAGGAGTCACGGATTGGTGTGCCTAGAGGGCCTCCATCCTCCCCACCACTGCCAATAGGGTGCTGCCCATGGCTGCCTTTCCCAGTCTGCTCTGGCAAATCTGACAAGATTTCTGTGATATCAGGTCCAATGCTGTCAGAGCTGGAGAGACGGACCATACGAGGTGGTACAGCCCCTTGTGAATGCTGCTGCTGTGACTGGACATGAGACTGTGAATAAGGCATGCCGGGGCCAGAGGGTGGTGTCCCACATTGGCTAGGTGCTGGAGTGATGCTATGGGGTGTGTCTAGTCCGTCACCAGCCAGGTTAACATCAAAGATAGAATTTTGAGATGCATCCACATCCATAGAAAGGAGCTCACGGTGGAAGTCATCCTCATGTGTGACTTGATGGTGCTGGTGGTGTAGAGGCATTGAAGAGGCCTGCTGCGGTTTCATTCCTAAACCAGTACCTGCGCCAGCACTTCCAGCAGCTCCTGGCATCCCAGCACCCTTAGGACGCTTCTTATTCTTTTTGGTGGTACCTCCGGGGCAGGTCCCACCCATACCTTCTGTCCGTGGTGAGCCAGAAGAAGAATTCTGCCTCTCCAACGGACTAGAACCATAAAGTGTAGCAAAATCTTGTGTGGGGTTGTCTTTTAACAAGTTCATCAACATAGGATGATTTTTCGTGTTGCTGGCAGGGGAGGATGTGGGTGGTGGTGTCTGGTGGGGTGGTGGTGCATTTTGAGAGCTTGGACTTGATCCCACACTCCCAGTTATCTGTAACAGACTTGTCAGAATTGGATTCTGGGTCACTTTGTTGTAGTCGTCTGTGTGGCCTTGACCAGGCTGTTGTTGCTGATGTTGTTGCTGCAACTGTTGCTGGCCAGCCACCCCTCCTTGAGTTGGACACTCCCCTCCCTGGCTTTGCCTGTCTGCTCGGGACATCCCAAACAAAGAAGTAATTGGACCTGCAAAATTAGGTCCTCCAGGAGGTCCTCCTCCTGTAGGTGTGCTGCCCCCTGTTAGCCCTGGGAGCCCCATGGGGTTAGCTCCTTCACCTGCTGCCATGTTGTATGTAGGACTACCAGAGGGTGGCAGATTATTCTTAACCATGATTTCCACAGTCTGTGCAATCAATGAAAGGGCTGGAGTGTCTGCCTGGATGGTCTCTGCTTTCCTCCGAATGGCCCGCATGGTCACAGGAATGGACATACATCTATAAGGGGGAGAAAACAGTTATTGAACAGAAAAAAAACACGAAATGATGCATTTATAAAGGAAGGAGGAAATTACAATCTCACCTCTGCACCACTTTGGTAATGAATTCATCAGTGCAAATCAGGGCATCTGACAGTCCTTTGTACAGTTTGCAGGATACCTGTCTGGAGTCAATTACCTCCATTACCACTAAAAGATGAAAGAGAGATAACACTTAGCATTTGTATCACTGATAACGGACTTAATTCCACAATAAATATGATGTTGTACTACTAACAGTCAAAATATTTTGTATTGATACCTATTAATGCTAAATAAGTATGATTTTATAAATGTGAGTGCTCACCACAGACTAAAGACTCATTGACTGGATGCTGGAAAGAGACGCTGAAACTGGAGTCAGTCAAAGGACACACTTCAAACTGCAGGAGACCTGCAGTGTCTGAATAAACAGCAACAAAAATTCACTTATCAAACGGTTAAAATCGAATACATGTCCAAACACAGTCATCCATGGCAAGACACTCACCTTCTTTGATGGAAGTTCGTTTCACACAGCTGCCAATCAAGTTGTTGTAAGCTGCCTGGTGCCGAATGATATCCAACAGGGCAGGCACTTGTGCTGGATGGCGAAAGGGGATCTTTGAAACCAGTGTTCCTTGAAGAGAATGACCATCTTGGACTGGGGCATCACCGTTAAGAAAGTAGCAGTGCTGCTGATCAGGCAATACCTGTGGTAGCATAAAAAGTGCAGAATCGAGCGTTTATATTCACTGTTTATTTCTTGTTCTATCTTCCTCTTATCAAGCGACAGAAAATGAATGTAGCTGTATTCAAACACATAACCATTCCTTTGGATTACAATGCTGTACTGACTGTGAAAACTGCCATAATCATTGAAGAACTGCTCTGTATGAAAGCAGTAATGTTTTGAGTCGTTTAAAGGGCAATTTGCCTCTATTAGACAGGACAGTTGAAAAGACAGGAACTGCATGAAGCAGAGAGCGGGGGGTGACATGCAATAAATGCCTGTGGCCAGGAGTCAAACTAGAGACTGCTGTGAACAGGACCAAGAGGACTGCTTCTGCACATGAGGCCTGCATCTGAACCGCTAAGACAAATTAGTGCCCAATAATGCAGTAATTGTGATTTTATGCTGGCTTACAGTATGCAAAAAGGGTGCAGGCTAACATAATAGCAGGTCAGTAAATACATAAAACATTTCTGTTATAACAAGGCAATAATGATAATAGTATGTAGCACAGGTTACATAAACTGAACTAAAGTAATTTCAAAGAGTCATACTGTTAATGGTTTAAAGTGAGGTATAATGTCTTTAACTCACAGAATAGAAGTGCATATTGTGTGTTGGAGGAGGCAAGGAGCTGCCCTCTTCAAGGAGCTGCAGCTGACTCTGAACAATCAGTTGGTAGAGAGGCGAAAGGCTAGGGGGACTCTCGAACACTGGGATGGCTGTGACAAAAAAAAGGGGAATTTAAGTCCATGTCATCAGAAAAACAGGCGTGCTTTTATCAAAAGAAAAAAACTGGACTTGAGCATTTTATGTTCATAGAGTGAACTCACAAGAAGCATTTCCCAATCTCTGAATAAAGGACAGCGAGAAAGGCATTGGTCGGTTCATCTTGAGGAAGAAGCAAGCTGGCAGGTCCACACAGTTGGAGTTGGTCACATTAGAAAAGGAAGGTGTCCTGAAATTCATGCAAAATAAATCATTGACTGTTTCTAATCTCAGACTAGGGGATCCTTTGAATGTTTGTTTACTCATGCCATATAGTCTCCCATGTTTGCATGACTATCTCTACACCTAAAAAAGGAAGACACAGTTTTTACCCCTTGTTGTCCACAGGGTGGGATCCTGTTATGAGAGGAGCGATTGGGAGCTTATACACTGCAGAGGTTCCCTCAATTGTCACCGAGACGCTGACACCCAGAGAGCGTGGAACTACAAAGACAATCCATGTGTCGACACAGGGAGACAAAACAGGGATGGTCAGTGATATTTTCAATGCTTCGGCAAATGCTGGATAATTGTTTTTCGCATTGAAGAGTTCATTCACTTCCTTCCTGGACTTACCGTTGTTGTCTGTCAAGTTGAGCTGTGAGCCTGTTCCCTCCTCAAATATGTCATAAGGAGATACATAACACTGAAGGGTAACAAGATGGCCACCGCTTCGAGCTGTTAATAATCCAACGCTGCCATGAAGGATAGTCTCTACCGTGTTAGCATTGGTTGCTAACCTAGAAAAGAAATTACACAGGTGGTTCAGCATATACGGCTTTTCACTCCTATGATCAATAATGCTACCAGCCAGGTAAATGTGCAGTTTAACTACTTGAATTTAATAACAAGCTGCTCTCATTACAGGTAATACAACAAACGAGGGGATGCCATTACCCTGTTTCTAGAAGTGTAATTCAGAAGATTAAAGTTGCACGCACATTTTCTTTTGAAGTTATAGTCATTCATGAAACCCTTTGACATCCACTGTAAGCTACATCTTTAATTCATTTTATTTCACTCTCAGCGAGGGTAACATCTAAAAATGGCAATTAATTCAAAACACTGCAGCCAAGACCTTCTTCAGAGAGGTTATTATAAGACACACATCTTTGCAGGGAGCTCTACTCGGGCAACCTGTGAGTATTATAATTCATTTTATACTGCTTGAGTGGCCAGACTACAGCCTATATCTGTGAACTACTAACTCTCCATGAGCTTGACTGCAGGCTCTACTACTGGTTCCTCGAGTAATTGGTTCCTAAAGGCAGTTGCAGTTGGGATTTCACATCTGACGATATCAGGCAGGCAAACTCAGTGGGCTATTTTAAATCTCCTACTTGTGTTGGCTGGTTTTTACTTGACAGATAGACTTGTTGCTCTTATCCTCTTCATCTGAAGCACTGAACTCTGTTTACTTTCTTAATTTTCTTTGACTTTAACCCTCTTTTTGATGTTATTTTCCTGTTTCAATAATCATTTGTCTTGTTTTGACTGTTACTTGATTCATTGTTTTCATTAGTAAAGCCCTCTGCATCCACTTGTAAACCAAATCCACTATGTAAATAAAATTATTACAATTACTATCATTATTTGTACCTGGCTAGATACAACCTCCTTCAGCATTTGCTTCAAACTTCACATCAAACCCTTAAATTAAAAAAACTACAGATGAGATGAGGGACTTACCTAAACATGTGCATCATCTTGGTTAGATCGAGTTCCAGAGACTGCAGTGCAATGTACATCTTGGTTTTCAGCTTACTGCAACATATTAATTAATATAAGATAAAAAACAATAATTTCAATTAAGTGGTATCCACATGACATAAAATTTTTAGCTGTTTTACCCAAATGTAATATCTAAGCATTCTGTAAAAAGACTAAGACTTTCGAAGAACCAAATGTTGATCCGGCTTCAAAATACAAAGGTCAATAAAGGTCAATAAAATAAACAAATGAATGAGCTGTCTGGAGTTTCGTCTTATTCCTACTCACTTGTCTCCTGGGAGTTTGTACAGTTCAACCAGTCCTTTCAGATGTTTAGAAAACTCTTCAAAGTTCTTCTCCCTGATGAAAAGTGGGGGAGAGATGGTTTAGACACCCATAAGAGTTACACAATTACTGCTCACATGTCTGAGCTCCATTCTACAAAACAGAGATGAGAACTCTAAACTACAGTAATTGGGAGTGTACAGTGTGGTTTCTAACACACCTCAAATGCTGAATCAACTCAGGACAACTCTGTGAAAGACAAAATTAAAGACGAAAAAACATTACACATTTATCTCTGTAAGTACAGAAATCATTCTAGAAATAAAAATGATTCTGCAAGAGCTCAGCAACCAGAATCCAACTGACCGTAGGGTTTTCCCCCTGGTGAGCAACCTTGACGTCCACAAGCTGCCCACCGGTGTCCAGCTGTACCTCCACATAAAACATATCCGATGTGATGTAACAGTCTGTCCCTGATGGGCTGAGGTGTGAGCGGAGCCTGAACACACAAGTTGAGAAAACAGAAAATTAATTAAAAAATAAGCACGTTAGTTTAACTTTAGTCAAATTAAGAGTGGTTTGAATACAACTAAGAGTCACGTAAAAATGTGATTACAATTGACCATGTAAAAACAAAGTAGAGCTGTGGTGAGAGTTTCGTGTCAATTTTAAGCTGAATTTAGACACAAGCGTTTGTTTCACTATTAAAAATTACCACCTGAATCAAAATGAGAAAACATTAGCAAAAGGAAAACAACTCACATGTTTTGCCGAGCAATTGATTCCAGACGATCTGTCATAGAGGGCAGTGATGACACTGAAAAAAAAAATTGACAGTTAGAAAAAACAATTTTAAATCCTACTGTAATAGGATGGTATAAAAGAAAACACAACATATGTGTCTGCATAACATTTAAGAGCAAAGGTCAAATGATATGTAAGAATATAACTTTGTTTTATTAGTTTGTCCACCACCAGCGTGTAGGCAACACTGGCACTGTCCATTAACATAAACTAGAATATTCAACAGTTAATTTGAGTGGACATGGTGGAAAATGACATGCTGTACTGGAAAAACGCTGCCCTGCTGTCCCCTGTGTTCCCGTCCTTCGCATTGACAGTCTCACCTTTCAGCGCTCTCTGCAGGGTCTCCAGGCAGGTGAGCAGGAGCTGGTGACCTGCTGCGTTCATCACGCCCCGTTTCTCCTGAGACACAGTGTGAAGAAAAACAGAGGAATGAGAAAATAGTTTGGAAAAAGACAAAGTGCTTAATAAACAAAATTTGACTTTCATGTGTTTATTTTAAAACTTCATTAGCCAGCACAATAGTTAAGGCATTTAAAGGTCATGTTCAGGTAAGCTCTCAAAGTCATAAACTTTTGAAGGGAAACAAGAGATTACTTGCAATTAATTTTTTTAAAGTGGTTATTTATTACTTTTTCTTTGGTGCCTCAGTGTGACATAATTAGGGACTGTCTTTCACATCTCCCAAGACACAAGGCTGGTAGTGCAGATTTTAAATAAGCGTTCAAGGATTTACTCAGGTTGCAAGTTTTAAGTAATCCCTGAATAAAATAGTTCAAGCCGAGTGCAGTATTTCCATAGCAGGTTAAGCGTCTGTAACTCCTGCCTTGTGAAGAGATGAAGTTGACTTTGGTGTTTGGATGCCACTAACTGTAGTCATATGAGAAAGGGTGGGAGTGGAGGAGTGTCAGTATTAAAGGCTGTCACTGGAGTAAGCAGCTGTCATGACTATTTGTACATTTTCACAATGTAGGATGGCTCTGTCTCACCATGGCCTGACGCACAACCTTGGAGGTCTCCTGCCATGGCCTTGAGGCATTATGTTTGGCATGAAGCCTCTCCAACAAAGCAGCCATACGACTCTGCTTTTCTGCTTCTGAAAAAAAGAAGATGCATAAGACAGGAGTGAAACATCTCATCCAGCTAGTTAAATACATCCATAGCCAAAATCAGATATTTCATGCCTCCTCACTACTGTACAGAGAACTCATTCAACTGAATACGCAGGTTTACATGTATGACTTGAGAAGCTTTCTCTGGTCCAACATCATGTCATAGAAACTACAATTTTATATTTGAGTTTCACAAATATCAAACGTTTTCAAAGATCAGCAAATGTAAATGGATTTCAATAGTAATACTTACCCTGAACTCATTCTAAATATCACAAAAGGAACATATTTACAGGGACTGCCTAACAGGCCTAGCAGACTTTCCCCACTCTTAAAAAAGGAAACTTTTGTTGGATGTACAACTTTTTATATATAGAGAGGTTTAAAAAACAAAAAAAAAAAGGATTCATTTTGTGTGGCACATAAAAACTACAAAACAACCCCTCCCCAAATTAAACTACATTTCTAATCCAATATATAAAATTATAGAGATCATAAAGGTAGGACTTATTGCAGGTCAGTAGTGTACGCCACCTTCCCAAGTTAAAATTCACTTTTCTTAACAAAACTAAGTGATTAAAAAATGGGCTGTTCGCTCTCGTCTCATGTCACTGTTCCACCAAACACTTTTTCTTGAGAGGAAACTTTTAGAAGTTTTACAGCTTAATTTAATGACCTGTGGAATAAAAACTCACTTTTATTGCTCTTGTACACATTTATCTACAACAACTAGTTATACAGTAGCCTAGCCTGGTCCACATCCTACTGCAAATGCATGTTGGTTTGTAATACAGGTTACCAGTCACAGAAACTGCTATTAGTATAGGCCCCAAGAAACCAATATCTGTCAGCCCCTGATCACAAGAGTATTATATATTTGAATGTTGGCAAGATTCACTGAAACTTATGTCAAAAGTCTGTCTTTATTTACCCCAAAATCACTGTTTTCCTGAGTGTTTTAGTTGTGGCATCATTAAATCTTAACATAATTTAAAAACAAAACGACGACGTTAATCAGTCAAGTCACGTGACCTCTAAAAAAACTATAAAATTAGTCCCAGGTGCGTTAAAGATTGTTTGGTCCTACAGAAAGTCGAAGAAACTCACGGTGAAATGTTTGTTATCAAAATCTGTCACAACTTCGACGCCCCAACTTATTTCTTTTGTTTGGTAAGTGGCCTTAATTTCAGCTTCATGCAACCCATGTGTTAAAAGTGATAATATGAACTTTGAGGGGGCCAATTATTTGCTTCTAGTGACTTTTGTGTTTCATACAAAGTTAGATTTGATAACACTAACGTTAGCCATTTACTGACTTCGAGGAACTAGCCGTTGACTACTCATTGCCGACACTACTTTTCGACAATTATACACATTTCAATCACGTTAACTGTCGAAATTGCACGCAAGAGTTCGTAAAATACCCCAATTTCCTTGTCAAACATTATAATAATGTGTAAAGGCTGTCCATTCGGTTATGAGTTAGCATTAGCCGAGGTTAGCATCAGTCGTCCAATCAGGAGAGCCAGGACCTCATAACAGGAAATTTAAAGACAAGACGGGGAAAATAAACCCCGGGATATGTTCCTACCTGTAACCTCCTCGGGTTTGGGTCGATCTCCATGCGGCTGGTTCCCCCCTTGCTGAACCGAGAGAGAAAGTTCTCTTGCAGGGCTACCGCTCTGCATAGAAACACCAGGCCCCGCCGCCATTGTCCCCCCGTTTGCGTTTTCAGTTTCCCCGCTACGCTTTCTCCGATTTCCCCATCCAGGCTTCCGTAGTTAAGACTCAATACACCGATCCGTTAAGTGAGTAAAAAGGCTCTATTATCTGAGGTTTTGTTTCATATCAACAGTTTTATAAAGCAATTTGAGGGCGATTAAATTGTTAACTTTCTTAAATAAATATGTCTAATAGTTAAATCTACTCAGTATTTTGCTGTAATTTAATGTTTAGATGTTTTATTTGTGATTTTTTAAAAATTCTTCTAAGTGTCCACGTGATAGTTTGATATAAGAACACAATTGTAGTCCACCCATTCTTTCAAAACCAACTCAAACCCCTTGACTCGACGGGTGAAAATAAAAGACAATGTCTGAAGAGGACTCCAGATGGCGTACAATCACTGTGAGTAAATGATTCATGATTTGCCAAGAACAGCCAACAGCCAAAATCCAAAGGAAGGTTGAAATATTCATATCAATCGTCTTCAGAAACAGACATATCCTCAGTGACATGATTGTTTCTTCACTTCTATTTTTACTCTTTCCACCATAATTCACAATTCAGTCCCGGAAAAACCCCGCACAAAAATGAAGCTGTATATTAAGACATTATTAGCAGCCATGCGCCCACATTGCCAACCACACATACACACAGATGCACGTTTGAACACACAAACACACACACACCTGAGCCTTTTGTACAGCTGAGCCTGTGACAATGAGGGCTCTCTGGGGAGGATTTTCCCACCAACCATTATGACCTGCCTGAGAGAGGGAGCAGGAGTGTGTGTGCATGAATACATGTGCATTTGTGCAATTGTAAAGATATATTTGAGAACATGCACATAAAACCGCACACACCGTTTACACACATGAGATAGCTATAGACAGCAGTGAAGATGGAGAGGGACCAGATTGGCATCAGCTGAGACAGTAGACAGACCCACAGATAGACATGAGAAAAGAGGGGAGGTGCCGCTATGTAATTGATGTGCCCACCAGGAGCTTTAGCTGGCTGCCTGGCATGGAAGAGGAGGTGGGCACCGCTGCCAAGACAGCAGTCGGAGAAAGGGAAAAGGGAGGCTCGGGCCTTGGGGAGCACAGTAGCAGGGCTGAAACCATGCCCATCAATCAGAGGCTAGTTCACCTTGCCATGCCAAGTGGGACCCCCCTCTGTGCCGAGGGAAGGGGTGGCACAGGGAGCGAAGCTGGCACACTCACTAAACCTTTCCTAATCCTCCTGGTGGGTGTATCAGTGCCATGTTCGAATGGTGAAAGGGTGGACAGAGCCAGACACGAGCGAAAGAAAAGAAAGTTCAGAGAGTGGTGTCACTGCCTGTTGTTGACATCAGTATCCTGTAAAAAGCTCAAATTTGTGCAGGTAGAAATTGGGAAACGCCACAGGTTCACATGAAAAAGCATTTTAGGAAAGCCATTTCCACCTCTGAAGATTCTGAGTACTCCTTCTGGAAAGATGTAACAAAATTAGACCTGAATATCAGTTACAGTTTGCAGCATATGTTCGATGACCCCCAAGATTCGGTGTTTTTCTATCAATATTTTATCAGGTTTGAACATATAAACATTGCTTGCACGCATAGTGTCGAGTCTGGCAGCAAATACAATATTCCATTCAGTAAATAAGCAAGTGAAGAACACAGTGATTCAAATAGAGATGAAGATGAAGATGATACTGAAGTGACATAATACTGAAATCTTGAAAAGCACCCATTCAAACCTTTTATAATCCCAGCTGCTTTGTCCAAATCAGTTCTCGATTGAATGATTGTTGTCAACATTTCATGTCAAAATCTCCTTCTTTTATCCTATATTATTTTTAGCATATTCATTTTTTTAACATACACACTATTTTCATCTTATCAATTCTACTTTTACTTTAGGTGTTGCATAAATAGCCGGTGAAGATTCTTAATAACCATCATTCTTTATAACCGTTTTTAGGAATGAATTCAAGTCCTTCAGATTTTGAATTTTATAAAGACCCCAAATTAACTCCTCCATACTTCTTCACTATTTTACAATGACTTCACCAAGTACTTGTGGGGCAGATAAGAACATACATTCAATACATAAACAAACTGAAACAAACCACATGTGCAATTCAGTGCTGCGACCTCATAAATACAGAGCATGCTTGAGTGTGTAACACGTAAAAAATGATCTTACTCTTTATTCTGTCTTCGTTCTAGCGTCTGTCAACACTTAAAAGCAGGATGTTTTTGTGGCTGTTTAAAAGAAAATGAAAGAATTCTTCTTTTAAAAAAATCACATTTGATAACCTCAGGCGGCCATCAATAGTTTGGACTGCACCAGTCTGGAATAAAATTACATTGTGTTGTAAAATTCTTCCTTTTTATTGCCATATTACATCAGTCAGTTTCATTTTTTTGCCTCTTTGATGAAAAAATCCAATGCATTTCTCAGAATATTTCTTTTTTAATTTGGCAGATGCATATCATACCTGCATTTGTTTATTTCACTCTTTTTTTCTGTTCTTCAGGTTTTTCTGCCATTGATAATAATGTTACTCTGACTACTTTGGTACCCTGTCAAACAACTTTGCTTTAGGTGCCCAGGACACAGTTATTTTTTCTTTGGTACTTTTTGCCAGAACATTTTCTGTTTTTGTGTAATGTTATTCCATTTATTCCAGCCCCATAGTTTCTGTATAATCTAACAGTTTTTCTATACGGCTACATACACAGTTTTACCATAAAACTAGAAACTAACATTGATGCCCACCACCCCAGAGGATGGACAACTTGTAGGTTTTTACTCCAAACTAAGTTAAAGCCCCAGCTCTGAGCTGGAAGTTGAGTAGCATGGATGCATTGCTGGAAGCGGGTAGTAAACCTCTTGCTAATGTGTTTTTGGTTGTTTTGATATGTACTACATCAACCAGGAGACAACCCAATAGTATATGTGTACCCAATAATGTGTTCTGTGGTATCTGACAGCAAGTAGTTGGCAATAGATACTTTCAATGCTGAAATTTTTGAGTTGGGGCCTTGATGGATTGGACTCATCCAGCATATCTCTACAGATGCTTAATTTGATCAAAATCCGGGTCAGTGCCTGGAACTCATCATGTTTCACCAGGCTACCTTCTTCCAATGCTTCAAGGTCCAGTCCTGATGCTCATGTCCAATTTTGGTGTTTTCAGTTGTAGACCAGGGTCAGCGTGGGCTGTCCTTGACCCCATTGCTGGTTCACCATTTTTACTTCCTTGAACCACTTTTGGTTGGTAGTGATCACAATAGACCATGAACACCCTAAAAAGCTGCCCTGATGCAGTCGTCAAGCCATCACACTTTGGTCCATGTCAAAGTGGTTCACATCTTCACACTTGTCCAATTGCTGCTTCCAACACATCAGCTTTAAGAACAAAATGTTGGCCTGCTGTCTAACATATCCCATCCATCTACAGATGCCTTTTTATGAGATAATTAATGTTCTTCACTTAACTTGACATTTGACATGCATGATTTTGTGATAGCACCAGACGTTATGCATACATCTGAATATTAACAGTTTTTCCCTCCCTTGAAAACACCTCTAAAAATAGTCAGTGTATGTTGTTGGTGACAGTGCCACTTCTCTAACCAGCAGGTGCCTCCTCATGACTACGGGCAGAAGTCAGTCACCACCACAACGCCAGAGGATGAAAGGTGGAGCGACAGGATGGCACAAAAGGACAGGTTAACCAACAACTGAGGTGGGAACATGATTCCTTCTTTGAGGAAAGTTATTTTTAAATCAGAGACTTAAACAACTGTGAAATAGCCGAGGCATATGGAGTGACAGTCTGTAGCTAATGTCCAAAGATGGCGGCCTGATGAAATCATCTTAAAACAGGCATCTGACGAAGGAATTTCTCGAGCTGCCATCAAACCGCACACTGCAGGTTATTTGAGTTTCTGTGGCATTGAAACACTGATACCAGAAGTGCTTTATTTACCCACACATGATCTCATCCTTGTCCCTTTAAATGTGCCTTTTGCATTTTAGGACCCTCAATGTGTTTTTTTTAATTAATGCCATTTAAAGTTATTTTCTTCATAAAAACAAGGCTGTATTCATAAAATCCTTCTTTGAAAATTAGTGTTGAGAAGAAGATGGAGAGGCTGCTTTATACTTGAGCTGATGCAGTAATCAATACTAAAACATAAACCTTGCATATACTAATATTGCAGATACAATACAAGATAAAGTATTCAGATTATTATCAACCATTTTCTTCATACAGAGTAAGAGGAGATGACTGTATAAAATCTTCATAAACACACATTTGATTTCCTCTGCATGTATCCCGTTTTAACACAGGGGATGTAGGTGTGTGAACAGCTTGGCAACCTTATTGAGTGCTTTGAAGTTGACTCCCCTCCTTTTTTCACCATCTCTCGAGCTGAACTCGCATTTTACCTGCTGTGAATAAAGATAGCCTATTTGATGCATACATGCCTCCTTGGCAATCCACGGCTACTGCACAAATTAAACCGGCTCTACAAATAACAGATTTGCTATATGGTTGGTGTGGTTGGTTTACAAGCAGTTCCACTGTATCGAGCCGAGTCTTGTACAAAATGTGCCAAACAAAAGAGAAAGACTGAGCTCTTTTTTTTTGCTTTTTTTTTTTTTTTTGCTTTTCACCTCTCATACAAGTTTGAGATCAGTGAGCCTGGAGGCTGGAAGCAGTCCAGAAAAACAGTGAAGCATTATCAGGACACAGTTTCTGCTTCTTTGGCAGCGAGTGCCTTGAAGTGTAAGGGCAGCTGGGAAGACTAGCTGGGAGGGTGGTGGAGGGAGAGCGGGAGAGAGGGAGGAGGGGTCGGCCCTATAGGACCATTTGTGATGAGGCTCATTTGCACAACGGCACTTAATTGGCTACAACAATTAATTAATGTGTTGGAAAGTTGGCACAAAAAGTTCATTTAAGAGGGTTTTAATAAGCAATTAGGGGGAAGTAACCAGTGAGGTAGAAGCGAGCATGAAAAAAAAAAAAAAAGATGCA